CATCAGCATCATCATCAGCATCAACATCAACATCATCAGCATCAGCACCATCATCATCATCATCAGCAGCAGCAGCAGCATCGTCATCATCGTCATCCTCATCATCATCATCATCATCATCATCAGCATCATCATCATCAGCATCATCATCGGCAGCAGCAGCATCATCATCATCAGCATCAGCATCACCATCATCAGCATCAGCATCATCATTAGCATCATGATCATCATCATCATCATCATCATCCTGACCAACATCATCATCATCATCATCATCATCATCATCATCATCATCATCATCATCATCAGCAGCAGCAGCAGCAGCAGCAGCTCCTGATCATCACCATCAGCAGCAACAAACAGCAGCAGCAGCATCATCCTCGTCATCATCATCAGCATCCCTCGTTCTTCTCCTCCTCCTCCTCCTCCTCCGCCTCCTCCTCCTCCTCATCTTCCGCCTCCTCCTCCTCCGTCTCATCTTCCTCCGCCTTCTCCTCCTCCGCCCTTTGCCCTCCGCCGCCCTCCGCCCTCCGCCCTCCGCCCTCCGCCCTCCGCCCGCCGCCCTCCTCCTCCTCCTCCTCCTCTCCTCCTCCTGCTCCTCCTCCTCCTTCTCCTACTCCTCCTCCTCCTCCTCCTCCTCCTCCTCCTCCTCCTCATCCTCCTCCTCCCCCTCTTCCTGTTAGTATGCGTATTAGTGTTAGTCTGATTCTTCGCAATATAACTATTACTACCCATCTTAATATTATGTTTACTCTTAGTATTCGTAGTATTGCTAAGATTAGCATTCGTCTTCTTAGCATTGATCTCCGTAGTATTAGTATCCTCATTCGAATGTTCCTTCTTCTTACTGTGATTCTTCGTCCGCCACTTCCTCTCATCCTCCTCCCCTCCTCCCTTCCCCCCCCCCCCCGCCCTCCCCCCCATCCCGCCCTCCCTCCCTCCCTCCCCCCCCCACCCCCTCCCCTCCCCCCCCCTTCCTCCCTCGCTTCCCCCGTTTTCACTCCTCCCTCCTCCATTCCTCCCTCCTCCCTCCTCCCCTCCTCGCCTCCTGCTCCTCCTCCTCCTCCTCCTCCGCCTCTCCTCCTCCTCCTCCCTTCCACCTCCTCCTCTCCTCCTCCTCCCCCACCTCCCACCTCTTCCCCTCCTCGTCCTCCTCGTCCTCCTCCTCCTCCTCCTCCTCCTCCTCCTCTCCTCCTCATCCTCGTGATCCTCCCCATCCTCCTGCCCCTCCCCCTCATCCTCCCCCTCCTCGTCCTCCTCGTGCTCCTCCTCCTCCTCCTCCGCATCATCATCATCATCATCATCATCATCATCATCATCATCATCATCATCATCATCAACACATCATCATCATCATCATCATCATCAGCAGCAGCAACAGCAGCAGCAGCATCAGCATCAGCAGCATCATCATCATCATCATCAGCATCATCATCCTCATCATCATCATCATCAGCATCATAAGCATCATCATCATCATCATCAGCAGCAGCATCAGCATCAACATCAACATCATCATCACCATCATCATCATTATCAGCAACAGCATCAGCAGCAGCATCATCATGAGCATCATCATCCGCATCATCATCGGCAGCAGCATCACCATCATCACCATCAGCATCATCATCAGCATCATCATCATCTCTCCACCACCACCACCATCATCATCAGCATCAGCATCATCATCAGCAGCATCAGCACCAGCATCAGCATCATCATGATTATCAGCATCATCATAATCGTCAGCATCATCATCAGCAGCGCCATCATAATCAGAAGCAGTATCGTCATCAGCATCATCATCGTCATCAACAACATCAACATCATCCGCATCACCATCACCATCACCATCATCATCATCATCATCATCATCATCATCATCATCATCATCATCATCAGCATCACCATCACCACCATCATCACCATCATCAGCAGCATCAGCATCGGCATCAGCATCAACACCAACATCGCCATCATCAATATTAGCATTGACATTATCATAACCATCATCATCAGCAACATCATCATCATCATCAGCAGCACCATCAGCATCGGCATCAGCATCATCAGCATTGTCGTCATCATCAGCATAATCGTCATCAGCGTCATCAGCATCAGTATCAGCATCAGCATCACCATCAACATCAGCATCATCAGCATCAGCATCAGCATCGGCATCAGCTTCACTACCAGCAGCGTCAGCATCATCATCATCATCATCATCATCATCATCATCATCGTCAGCAGCATCACCATCCTCACCATCAGCATCACCATCATTGACAGCAGCCTTAGCAACATCACTAGCGCCAGCATCAGCATCATCATCATCGGCATCACCATCATCATCACCATCATCAGCATCAGCATCAGCATCAGCATCATCAATAGCATCATCAGCATCATCATCAGCAGCATCAGCATCGTCATCATCATCATCACCGGCAGCATCATCATCAGCATCATCATCAACAGCATCATCATCATCCGCAGCAACATCATCGTCATCGTCCTGGTCAGCAGTATCAGCATCCTCAGCATCAGCATCATCAGTATTATCATCATCATCAACATCACCAGCAACATCATCGTCAGCAGCATAATCATCATCATCATCATCATCATCATCATCATCATCATCATCATCATCACCATCACCATCACTATCACCATCAACATCACCATAAGCATCATCATCATCGTCATCATCGTCATCATCCCTCCTCCTCCCTCATCCTCCCTCCTCCTCCCTCCTCCTCCGTCCTCCTCCTCCTCCCTGGCGCGCGGAGCGCGCCAGGGGCGGCGCCGGAGGCGCCGCCAGGGAGCCCAGGCGCGGATCCAAGAAATCCGCGCGGAGCGCCAAAAGTTTATGCTTATGTGGTTTTCTTCTTCGACCAGTGCCCCATGGCGACACCCGAGGCGAAGAACACTCCAAGGTGGAGACACCCGAGGACCCCCCTCTGATTCTCGGGGCTGCTCTGAGTCCTCGCGCCAGCTGCACGTCGACACACAAGCTGGGAGGCCCACGGGCCCAAACATCCGATGCTGTGATCTTTCCAACGCGCGGCCCCAAAAGCAAGGGCTCCCAACTTCGCGCTTCGCGCTGCGCGAAGCGCGAAGTGCAAATAACTTCGCGCTCTCGCGCCGCCTCCCAGGGGAGAAGAGGAGGACGAGGAGGAGGGGGAGAAGGAACGAGGACCGCGAAGCGCGAAGCGCGAATAACTTCGCGCCCTCGTGGGAGTCCTTGCAAAAGCCCCGACCGCTACCCTGGGGGGCAATTTTTCGTCCCAAATCAGTTTTTGATGGCCCCGGGGGCCGTGAAGCCGAGACACAGGAAACACGCCGGGATTGAAAAAGTCAGACCGTCGGCTCTCGGATCGTTACTCTGGCCTCCGGCGGCCGTTCGAGACGATCTGGGCACCCCCAGAATGCTCTCGGCGAGACGTAACTGCTGGAACGCACCCCGAGGCTAGAGAAAAGCAGAAAAACGCCCGAGAACGACGAACACGCAAGAAAAACACATCGTTGGAGATCTGATGGGACCGTCGTCGCCGCCGCCGCGACACCTCTAAAGCGTCCAAGAGGGCGGCGTCCAAAAGGAGGGTTCGCAAATCATGGCCCGAGGCACGTGCGCGGCCAAGAAGGGCCAAGGGACGTATTGTAATGGGAAGCTAAGCTCAGAAGGCTCGATCGGATGCCCGAAAGCGTCACGCACCAATGCGGAGAGATATCCTGGCCCTGGCCACGATATCCACATACCCGTAATCATCACCCCCCCGGCGCGAATCGTGATGTTACTGGCCCCATTTGCCGTTCCCCTGGTAACGTCCGTTACCTAGAGGAACAAAGAACTGTATAAACATAAACCCTCAGAGTTCCAAAACATTATTTGCATGCAGTTCTTCTTCGATAGCGATCGGGAACGGTTACTCAGCGCGTCGCGGCGGCGGCCCCAGCGACACGGCTTGCAAATGGATAACGTGTCGCTCCGCTCCGCGGGGCGGGAGGTCGAGAAAAACTCGAGACTCTGACGCCAGGGACTGCGAAGTGGACAGCGTGCCGCTCCTGGGCAGGGTGGGCCAGAGCTGGCGCAACGACACGCTACGTAAGCCAAGGTCCACAATCGAGGTTACGATGCTGCCATCAGTCCCTCGGCGACTCCGAAGTGTGTGGTTTACAAAGGGTGTGGTTTGCAACCGGCACCCTAGGGGGTACCCTGGGGGGCGGGCGGGGACCTCGATAGAGTTCTCTGCCCCGCCCCCCGAGGAGGCCCGACGAGGACAGTGTCGTGCCCCCCAGGCCCCAACGGCGCCGACCGCAAACCACACCCCGGCGTGACCACACCCTTTGTAGTCGCCGAGTCCCCCCCCCCCTGGTAACGCCCGCTATCGCCGCGGAGATGAAACAGTTGTATAATCGGACCTAGGTCAGAATAACATCCTCAAGAACATGAGACCCTCCGTCGGCCAAAACACATGAAACATCAAAGGGTACCCTCCCCAGGACGCACAAAAACATCCAACAACCGCGAAGAGCACCAGGGCACCCTCTCCGAACCGACCTCGATATCATACCTCGGTGCGACTGCATCCTCCCAGACGCACCCGGGAGGGTTGGCGGCGCGCACAAGGGGGTGGGGGGAGGCCCGCGCCTTCTGAAAAGGAGGGGTGTTTCTAAGAAGACATCTCCCTTCCCCCTCTGCCTCCTCCTCCTCCTCCGCCTCCTCCTCCTTCGCCTCCGCCTCCGCCTCCGCCTCCGCCTCCGCCTCCGCCTCCGCCTCTTCCTCCTCCTCCTCCTCCTCCTCCTCCTCCTCCTCCTCCTCCTCCTCCTCCTCCTCCTCCTCCTCCTCCTCCCCTCCCCCTCCCCCTCCTCCTCCTCCTCCTCCTCCTCCTCCTCCTCCCCCCCTCTGCCCCCTCTGCGCGTGGCAGGGAGTGGGCATCCGCTGTCCGCGAACCCCCGCGGGAGCAGCCGCAGAGCGGGGGCGGGGGCGGCCCCGCCTGCCCAGGGCGCGGCCGGCCCGCGGCGCGCAGCCGCAGGACCAGCCTCGAGGCGAGGGTTCTGGCCTGCCGCCCCGCCCCCCCGAGGCACGTCTTGGCGCGAGGGAGGGCGCAGCGGCTCGGCCAACAAGAGGAGGAGGAGGAGGAGGAGGAGGAGGAGGGGGAGGAGGAGGGGGAGGAGGAGGCGGAGGCGGAGGCGGAGGCGGAGGCGGAGGAGGAGGAGGAGGAGGAAGAGGAGGAGGAGGAGGAGGAGGAGGAGGAGGAGGAGGAGGAGAGCGAACGACGAACGAACGACTCATCAGAGGTGCGCCAGCACGGGTCAACGCTACACAACCGATGAAAGAGCAGAGTAATACCCTTCGGAATGACTGGCAATCACATCTAGAGTGCGCCATGGCCCTATCTTCAGACAGAACCACGCGTGGCCTCGCGGCACGGTGCTCCCACCCACCCCCTTCCACGGCTGGATTGCCACTTTTTGAAGACGGCAAGCCGAAGGGGTAGGGGCAAAACTGGGTGAGCTAAAAAATCAAGTCTACGCAGGCCTCTAACCAACGCGATGGCCCAGAAGAGAGGGGCCACCGCGTTAGAAGAAGGGGGGACCACCCTAAATCGGATTCGAAAGCTCCCCGAGATTGGACAGGATTTAAAGCTTAACGCCCAGGGGCCCCAGGAACCAGGAACAAATTACTTACGCCTGGGGGCCAGCCCGAGGAGACTCATCACACTGCGGAGAGGGAGGTTCTGACTAGAGGAGGAGGGGGAGGACAGGTTCGGCGGCCTAGACGAGGTCATAGAAGAGGGGTCCGCTAGAGCACAGGGCGCGCCCGACGTCGACGGAGTATACCCAATCACACTCGCAGATGTCTCAATCAGTCCCATGGCCGTACTCCGAGCTGCAAGCCATCTCACCTGCGATCCTGGACTCGAGGAAGGAGTCGACGCGGTACCCAGAGCAGGCGTGGCCTCCTCCACTCCTCCCTCAGCGGGCAAGCGAGCCGTCGCCGACAGCTCGCCAGCATAAGCTTGCGCTTCACCGCTGGGACTAAGAGAGGAGTGGGCCGTCGCCGCTCGCAGTAAGCACGCCGAGAGAGACTGGATTATGGATTCATCTTCTTCGGGCGAGGACGGAGTCGACTCGGTACCCAGAGCAGGTGCGGCCTCCCCCGCTCCTCCCTCAGCGGGCAAGCGAGCCGTCACCGACAGCTCGCCAGAATAAGCTTGCGCTTCGCCGCTGGGACTAAGAGAGGAGTGGGCCGTCGCCGCTTGCAGTAAGCACGCCGAGAGAGACTGGATTCTGGGTTCATCCTCTTCGGTCGGCGGTCTTTCAGCCGCCCGATTCAAATGCCCTCGAGGGCGTCCAAGTGAACCTGCATCACACGAGCTCCGTGGCTCCTGGGAGGGGCGCCGTGCTTGTGCCTGCCGCCGAGCTGAACCAGCGCGGCCACGACCACGTTCTTGAGCTCGGGGGGATCGACCTTAAGTCACAACTTCACGAACTCTCCCGTGTGTGTCGTCTGCATGCGGCAGTGGTGGATCTTGTCGGCCAGCAACGCGTTGCTGGGCTTCTCGTGGTCGACCGTGGCCGTGTACGACTGCAGGGCCTGCAAGTTGAGCTGCCCGATCTTGTCTCCCTGAGCGGTTAGCGCCCCGACCAGGGCCAGGAAGACGTGAGGATGAGGAACGCCGAGATCCTCGAGCGCCTGCACCAGCTGCCCCGCGGCCAGCGCCTGCGCATTGTCCTTGCGGAGCCTCGCCGCCTCGCTGCCGTAGAACTTCGCCGCCAGCTGCATCGCCTTGATCACGTCGTGCTTGCTCGGCATCTGCACGTGCCTGTACGAGGCGGCCTCGAGGTGGCTTGATCGAGTGCTCGCGACGGAGGGCGAGGCGCGCGAGCACGGGAAAGGTTGCCTGAATCCACTCCAGCGGCATGAGGTCGAGGCCTTGCACATCTCTCGGCGCCAGGCCATAGTGGTTGTCCACCAGCTGCATGACGTCTGGCGCGCGGGCGACTCCGTTCGAGCCTGGCGCCGCTGGCGGCGCTGACGGGGCCGCGCCCCCCGCGGCGGACGCCGCTGGAGCGCCGCGGCGACCCTGACGACGACCTGGGCCGCCTCCGCCACGGTCGGAGCTGCGGGCGCGGTCGCCGAACCTGCCCCGAAACCCTTGCGCTCGCTGCTCGGCCCCAATACTCAGGGCCCGCTCCGCCAAAGTGGACATCGAAGCAAAGGCCTGGTGGCAACGGGACGTGAACTTCTCGAATGCGTTGTTGAAGCGTGGCAAGCGGGGGGGGGGCTCTCCTTGAGCCCGACCGGCTTCCGCGAGGCTCTCTCGACGCAGGGAGTGCGCGCTGTCGGGGTCAACGCAAACAGGGCACATCAGGACCTCTGGAACCTTCAGAGCAGGGGAGAACGGGCTGAAGTCGGTCAAGCATCTCTTCAGCTCGAGGAACTGGACCACGTGACGCCTGGCCAACACTTCCGAAGAGAACGTCGAGGAGCAATAAAAACACCGGTTAGTCACAACCAGCTGATGGACGGGGACGCGCGCTTGATGGGCAAGGCGATGGCATTGATGGGCCCTATGAGCAGCCCGCGTCGCGAAGACCTAGTTGCAGACCCCCCCCCCCCCCATCGGCATCGGGCAACTCGCACACGTACTCTTGTAGTGGGGGTTCAGGCACAGGGGGAACGGTCACCCCAGGAGCTCGAGGAGGAAGGGGTGGAGCGTTAGACTCTTGTTCCCAGCAGGCCCGCCTGAGCCCCTTGGGGTCCACACTGCCAAGCGCCGTCGCGATCCTATAGTTCGTGAAGATGTCCGAATCGAGCGCCCCTGGTCGAGGAAGTGGCGGCCGTGCGGTGCCGCGCGAAGCGTCTTGATATCTTCTTGCATCTGCAGAGCCCAGGTGTTAGCTTTTTGGGTGAATCCAACCATTTTCCAAGAACACAGGTCGACCTTGCAGGGCAGAGAAATGTCCAAACAGAGCTGCGGTCGCCCGTGCGCTCGCCTCCGGGTGGAGCGCAAGGTTCTGCCAGTAGCGTATCCTGCGGACAAGCGGTTCTGTGCGTGCATCTCCGATGTGAAGCCTCTTCTGCAACATCCAGGCCTTGGGGGTCCTGACCTGCACGCGTTCGCCTTCACCTCGCCCGGTAGCTACCCCGCGTAGGGCAACTCTGGCAAACCCCAAGATGACCTTATCAAGCCTAACGTAGTCCCTCTTCCCCAGGATGCAGGTCTCGAGGCCCGAGTAGGCCGCGCTATGTATGACGCCCAAGAAGGCCATCCGCTTGAGCTTTAAAGCCGTGTGCTGATTCCAGAACCTCCCCAGCTTGCACCAGACCGAACGAGCAGCGTCGGTACGAGCCCGAATCTCCGCACCACATCCCCCAGAAAGCTGCTCGACACCGCAAAGATACACCGCCTGAGCCCGAGGAACTCCAGGAAAGCAAGAAATCGTGCCCGAGAGAACAGCCCGAGCCGACGTAGAACCTCCAGGACCCACGAAGACTGGAAGAACAACCTCCTTGTGGGCATCACGTGCGAAACCCCCTTGCTCGCTGAGCTTGTTGGAGAGGAAAGCATTAGAAGTACGAGCCAGAGCAGCAGCACGAAACGGATTGTTATCTGCGATCGGCAGCGTGTGCGAGACGCCGTCAGCGTAGTCTCTCATGGAGAGATCGATGAGCTGCCCTGCGATAGGACGTTCGATGAGCGTGGCAGCTTCGATCGAAGGAACTTCGGCGTCTCCAATCTCGATCGCGTCTCGGTTCTCAAGCAAGAGCGCGCGGTTCCAGTCCCCCAAGGGGCGAGTGGGCGACCTGACAAACAACTCGCACGCACTACCGTCTCCCATGCCAGCGCCGTGGCGAGGAACGAAGTAGGCCGTCGCCTCGCCAGCACGAACCTCCATCACCGCTTCAGAGTGACGCTGGAGCAAGAACTTCTGATCCTGCAAGTCGGGGATGATCGTGCCAACTACCTCTGCCAGAGTCTCGTGGCTCGTGGACGGGAAGGCGCTGCTCATATCTTTCTGCATCTGCAAGTGCGAGACCTTGAGCTTCTTGAGCCGCCACGAGTGCAGGCGCGAGACCAACTGCGCCCCCTGCCGAGCTCGTCGTCTGGCGTAGCCGCGCGCGTGGCACGGGAACTCCTGCTTCTCGTGACGCGTGGACATGCCGCGGTACCAGGCCTTTCCAAAAGGGCAGAAACAGTGAATCAAGCGCATGGCCTTGGTACCTCGTTTGGCGCTGCCTTTTGCCAGCTGGAAGGTGCGCGACCAATGCCACCCTGCAAGAGCACGACACGGCATTCGCATCTGTCTGAACAGCGCCAACATCCTCTCGGAAAGTCGAGGACAAGGAACGTGGGGGAGAAGGCGAGCATCACCATATCGTGAGTAGCACGCCGTCTACCGTCCTCTCGGCGAGTCTCCACGCTCGTCGCTCTCATGAGCGCCAGCAAAATCTCACCCGGCGCTGAGTGAGACGGCGCGAACCTCCGACGAACAGATTTCTCGAAAGCCTGAAGTGTCCCAGTCCAATCTACGTACGCCGTCGACGAGGGGTGCCCACGTAACTGCTTCCAGTTGCCATCTGGGTCCTCAGTCGCTCGCAGCTCGAGGGCGAACTCCGAGGGGGTCTCGGGGTCGGGAACGACGACGGCGGAGAATCCACCATCCCGTGCAGTCGCCTTCATCGTGTCGGTCCACTCCTCTATCGCCGGCAGGTAGTGAGGCAGCGTGTTGAAGCGGCGCCTGCGGACACCGTGGCACTTAGCACCTACTTGATAGGCCAGCTTCCACACAGTGCTAGAATGACCCAGGTCGGCAGCGCGCTGGGCCTCTCGAAGCATTCGATCAACATTCTCTCGATCAAGCCGAAAACGTGCACGACGAATCTCGCGATCACACCTCCTCAGGGCCACACGATCTTCTTCAGAAAAGACACGACGACCAAGTGTGCGGCGCTTCTGCAGGAGCTAATCACGCCGTTGACGATAGGCCTCCGAAGGTCCTGACCTGGCATCGGCCTGACAGGCTTCCAGTGCAGCAGCGCGTACGTCACCAA